TGCAAAGCCCAAACCCAGGCAACAATAACCGTGACCTGCGAGTCACATCAATTCTTGGTCAAGTGTGGACCATCCAACGAAACCAACAACATCGTCCTCAGTTTTGATCACCCCGTAGTACACGAACAATGCAACGCTCATTGCTCGGAAAAGCCTACCACGTTTCTGCTGAACGGCTCCTTACACTACCACATAGAAGATCCTCAAGACATTTCAGTCTTCGAGAGGAAAACCCACGGTGTCCCACTGAAACATCAGTGGTTCAGCGATATTACCATTCCAAGTCTCGATCCATTAATCAATGTGATCAAGACCCACTGGAAACTAGCACTGGCCTGCATCACTACCACATTAGGTATAGCAGCCCTTACCTACCTAGCAGGCCCGCTCATCATATTGTTCATTGCTAAGGCGGGAATTTCCTTTCTGGGTTCCTTGCTATCACGGCTCTTCAAAAACACGAGCCGATTATCCATCAAGCTCAAAGAGAGCTTGTCAGGAAGAAGGAGCACCAACCCGCAATAAACCCAGTCTCCCTTCCATTTGAGTTAACACATGCACTCTATCCAACACCAGCACCATCAATGCGTCAATGCGTAAGAACCAAGTAATCAAAAAAGCAAGGAAGCAGAGTAATGACAACCCAGTAATCAAGAAACAAGAGACTCAATCTCAACCCAAACCTCAACTAACTACCATCAGAAGAATAAAGAAAACAAACAACACATGCATAAAAAAGATGGCAAAATGCACACGTTATTAACTAATCAAAAAAATCGAAAGAAATCAACAGCATGCACATAAACCAAAGATGGCACATTGCAGAACCAATCAGTAGACCTCGATTAACTAATCAATCGACCTCAATTACAAACATACAATAACTGTTCGCCCCTTTTGGTGGTTGGTATCAACATCCCATATGGCCTATGTGCCACCCCGGGACTTAGGAAAATTGTTGCAACCAACCTTCATCCGGTTGGGTGGCTGTCGTCCTCCTTCGATGCCATGGCGAGAATGGGTAGTCACCACCACGGTGGTCTCAATAGAACCAGGCGACGAAAAGTGGACAAAATTATAGTGGCAACGCGGCATTTCAAGGCACCGTACATGGGACGGGTTCTCAGGTGGGCTCAACACGGCGAGAGCGACGGTCAAGTTGTCTTACCCTTTGATCAACTTTTGATCTTTACATTACGTCATATTTGTATATTAACTTCTATATTTTCACCCTCGACGTCGCCTTCCGCTCGTACAGCCGTCCAGCCTACACCAACAACGTGCAGTTCCGTCGCCACTGTCCAGCCACCGCCTCGCCTTCTCGCTGCCATCGCCCTCGTCACCGTCCAGCCATCGTCATGGCCGTCCAGCTGCCATCGCGGCCATCCTAGCAGTGCCATATCTACTGCCATTTCATATCACCGCCGTTCTATGTAATTATTTTGTATAAACTCCCAATGATTGTAAACTCCGTGGCCGGCGGAGTATCGTCGTCTCTGACGACGATCCCATCCCTCATCGTCGTCGTCGTTTCGTCTCCATCTGAGACGACGAACCATCTTAGACAGTCCACCCCCTACCTGACGCGGCGTCAAACCAGCGAAGGGTGTATCATACGTCTGCTTTCGCTTCAAAAGGACACAGTGAGTACTATTAGCCATAACACTTAAATAGCTATACTTTCTTGCTTGTTGTCGTGTTATTATATACATTACTACCTGAACCAACCCCCACCACTGCGTTCAATTCGATGAGGAAACTGGGAAGAGTGCGTCACAATAACGCGGGAGCTAAGACCTTATATTCGATTTCCAATAGTGCCTTTAATGAAAAACAGCCCGAGGCGGTCCTACTGCCAGCTCTTTGATCTTTGGAAGATCCGTCTGTGTTGCATTTAGTGCCCCTAACAATAAAGGTGGTTATCTGGAATGATCTCCCACATCAACACGGTAGTAGAGACGTTTGGTGGAGTAGCCATAAACTGCGATTCTTCTAGGCTTTGAAGAAGGCGACCCCCCAAAAACGTGAGCGAATAAAGGGTAAGTAGACACACAATCATTCTCCGGAATTCTTGCTTAACGATGCGCGCGACGATTCTAGCCCTATTTCAGATGCCGGAAAGCCGTTTCAGCAGTTCGCGTTGACGCTTATGTTAAGATCGAACAAAATGGCTTCAGCATCCGGTAGACGGACTACGCACTGTTTAATGTAGAGGTCCACAGGATTACATCGCTACCGAAGACAACTTCGGGCCACCTGAGAACCGACCACCTTTATTGTCTTCTCATCTCAGCAGCCTGCTTTCAGCCTGCTTCATGCAACAATTGCATGAAGACGCATTGGCTATAGTTCCACGCTATGGGGAACCCGCTTATTTCTTGACTATGACTTATGGCTCCCAAACAAGGAGGTTCCTTGATGATGGCTGGTATTTCCGGCAAAGTTCAAAGAAGGCTGTACGGCACCATTCAGCAGTATGCATGCGAATTATATTTGTCTGCCTGCCGTTTTTCTGAGGTTGCCCAGGACTTGTCCAACGCTTTTTGACAGATGATATCATAGATCAAGAGATTGGAAAGGGAATTAGCAGTGCGTTGGCATACGTTGTTGCTCTCAGCCGAATGCCTCCTGTAGGGAAAGATTTTACGGTGATTGCATAGATCTCAATACGGGTGCATGTTCAACCATGGACCTGGAGGAAGTGAGAAAACCTATTCATATAATAATGTATATAACCTCGCCATCGGACAGCGAGCTCAAATAGTTTGTGTCGCGTGGACAGGAGCAGCAGCAAATCTCCTTTCCGGAGGACAGACCGTAAACCTTCTTTTCGAGTTCAATATTGCGGGCGATAACCAATATTCGTCAACGAAGCGTCAGCAAAAAGAAGCTAGCGGACTGATGGCAATAGATATGATAATTTGGGATGTGATTTCTATGGCACCGAATGCGGTTCTGAAACAGTGGATTTTCTATTGGACGAATTATGGACAATGATCGCTCGTTTGGTGGAAAGATCACGATTGTATTAGGTTGGTGCATAAGTTCTTAGCCCCGACTTTTTCGTAAATATCTCAATAGCGAACCAACCTGAAGATTAGAGGTATGCACCATCACCATCCACTACTCGACGCCAGCGCTCAGGCAGCTTGTCGATTCCTTCCTTCCAGAACGACGGGGCTGGGGAAGAAGTCGTCGAGTGCCTTTCTGACCTGATCCTTTGTTTCGAACTTTTTTCCGTCCAGAGAGCGCTGCAGGTGGCTGAACAGCCAGTAGTCAGAAGGAGCGAGGTCAGGGCTGTAGGGAGGGTGGGCGACCATCAGCCATCCGTACTTCTCCAGCTCGGCCTGGGTCGCCTTTGCGGTGTGAGGTCGGGCGTTGTCATGGTGGAAGTAGATTTCCGCATTCGATCCACGAGTACGGTCGACGTGATCTTTCAATTTCCGCAGCTGGGTAACGTATGTGGAAGCGTCAATCGTCTGTCCCTTCTCCAGCAGCTCCCAGTACTCCATGCCTCTTTCTGGACCACCAACAGGACAGGAGAACCTTTCTTGGGGTGAAGGTCGGCCTTTGGGGTGGCTTGTGGCTGAGCCCAGGGGAGGCTGTTAGTCACACACACCCAAACTAAGTGTGATCGTACCATGTGTCTTGAAACAAGAGAAAGCGCATAAACAGTAAGTCAGTCTCCTTTAGATAGTTAATGACGCGCGCAGCGACGAAAATGGTTGTGCTCAACTGCTCGAGAACATAATGTATTCATACTTGATAAATTTTTACTACTCTCTGTTCAAATGATGTTCGAATTAGCGGACGTGTCACTCTAGCGGCGAAAGATGTATATGTGGCCGTCTGTCATACATGATTTGACTGTAGAAGTCAACTTGATAGTCAGAGACTCTGCCATCCGGCACGTCGATTGGAGGGAATCTGAATATAGTGTGTTTGAGACAGTGTGTATCTGGTGTAAATACCCAGGGTGTCTCTTGTTCCGTTACTCCAAGTGTCTCTCCACCTGTGGAATTTCCATATGTTTGTTTCTTCATGTTGTGGTGATAACGTTTAACACTCGCGATGCCGTGATTCTGATTGTACTTTTTTGATCGTTACTGACATTAGATCGATAGCTGTTCAAGAGTTCCTCGAGTTCTGAAGAAGTCTTTCCCTTAGCTTTATAGAGCGAAGTCTAAGAAAAAAATTTGAACAAAGTATCTTCAGCGATACCAATCCAACCTCTTCATTAGACTTTGTAACTGTTCGGGAAAGGTAACTGGGCTTTTTTCGCTGAGTACTTTCATAGAAGCGGTTTCTGTTGTTCATTTCGTACGCAATTCGTTTTTTGCTTCACATTGTCTTGATAATCGTTTTGAGAATGGACGTAGCCAGTCCCATGCGAATCTGCTTGTTTCCTCGTGGAATTATTTTTCCCTTATTGCCCCTGGAAGAATTTCGCTCGCTAGCTAGTGAATGTCTCCAGTGTTGGAGGCAATGAAATATTTCAATAAAATTGCCTTAAAAGCTTACCGTTTTAGGAGGTGGTCCTAAAAGCGGGAAAAAATTACTGGCGGGTCAGAGGCTGAATTGTTACTGGTAGGGAATACCTAACATCCGAAAATTCAGTCTGATTCCATCCTTATGCCCTAGGCTCGTCCAGGAGTGGCTTTTCGCCATCCGCTGCTAGAATTCAGTTTCTTCCCTTTAATTGTTGTAATTTGGTCTGAACGACACCATCAGGTGATGAACGGGCGGCTTCTTTCTTTTTCTCACATACGTTTGCCTGGAGAATTCCCTACCTATTACACCCACTGTAAGTACTATTGCTACATGACTTATTATTTACTAGGCCTTTGCTTCGCCTTTATGCGTTTGTTCTGTGCTGTTTTGTGTTGTTTTTGAGTTGTGTTTTGTTCCCGTGTTTGGGCGTTCTATTTTTTTTCTTTTTGTCTTTTTGTGTTTGGACCTGAACTATGATATCGTAGTGCGCACACACAAGTGCATCGAATAAAAATAAATAAAGAAACTAAACGTCATGGAAGAAAACTTTATTCTCTGTATTCTCGATAAAGTCCCATGGAAAGTCGTTTACTTTTCGCGATGAATATCGGGCTTGTAATTCGGATCCGCAGCCGCAGTAAAACTTTTCGCGTATAGGTCCATTCTTTGCGTCATCTGAATGTGCTATTTAGCATTTGAAAGATCCATTTTTGAGGGCGCTATTCACCTTCTACTGCTCCACTCTAGAAAATCGAGCACAGTGGGTGAATTTAACCTTGAGTAGAATTCAGGTAAAGTTCTGTTTCCGGGGTAGTTTGAGCCTCTGAACATTACATCCATATGGAGCCAAAACGCTCGGTGCTCGAAGCCAGTATGGTGCTAGCGTTCAGCGTTTTTAGCGCATGTTCTAAGCGTTTTAGCGCCATGCTGATGTAGGTGGTATCCAAGGGTGTTGAACTAGCTTCTGGGACAACTACAAGCAAATATGGTGTTTCGAAATATATGCTGCTAGGTCCACGCTACAGGCACTTCCAAGTTGAAGACGATTTCCACGATCAAGCATTGTGGATAGTAGGTGTTCGGTTATCAAGCGATAGCCGGTAGGTGACTCCCCGAAGTAGGGAAAACAGAAAGAAACTCCAAGAAAACCGTCCCCGACAAAACCGTCCCCGACTGCCACATGGCCCACTGCACCAGTTCTTCAGACTTTCTTGCAAGTTTATATCCGGTCTCTTAAAACCCTAAGAAACTTCAACTCATAAATCGTTTCTTCTGTCCTTCTAGTACTAAATGCCATCCAAAATATGAGAAAATATCGAGAAACTGCAACAGAACTCGAAGTTATAGCTTTCGAAACCTTTTTCTACAGTTAGGATCACGGTAAGCAGTGGGCGACGAATTGAGAATTGAGATGAGATGCAGAGATCGACATGCTACCGTTCTCTGTGACGAGCACGTGAGGTCGCTGAAGGCGATACGCGCGATATACAGCGGTGTAAGTAATTGTTTCGGAGCCTGATGGGCAAAGCAGTAAAAGGTCACGTTAACGTGAACAAAGTCCTGCACTCTCAGGCAGTGCGGACATGTACTAAATGCGCGGAGGCATTTTACGGACCACTTGATCGCGGAAATTATCATTGAGTGAATATGATGTTCGCACTCAGGGCAATTAGTACTCCCGGTGAAAAATGTCAGCCGGAATCTGACTTGAATTCTGAAGATGGGACCAGTAGATGATGAGTAGTGCCTGGCTAATTTTTCATCTCTATTCGAAGTCTGCTCACATTCCTTTGATCTGCTAGTCTTCCAAGATCTTACCCTGAAGCAAAGAGTATCCTTTGTTTGTCGACAGAGGTTCAGGTCGATTTCGGCTATGAGAACTCCATCTCTCGTTCGCGAAAGCCCCTGAAAACTTGAAATTTTACTTTTGAACGCTTTCGGAATAAACACTATATTTTGGATAATCCTTTGTATGGACTCATAGTGAATTGTAGCGAAGTTAGAGGTTTCCAAAACAAATTTGAGTAGTGAACATGGAGTAGAGTAAGAGCGAAAACTGAATATCGCTTCCAATAAATTTAGAAACATCGGAAAAAGAGGGGAAAATTTTTTGAAAACTTACTGGAGTACGGCTGCCGTCTGGAGCAGCCACATAGGCGCTGCCGTAGAACATTCCAATTTCTTTGTGAGCTGTAATGTTCAGGTTAGATCCATCCTGTCAAAATAAGATAGGGTGTGTAGCACCTGCACTGGTTCTCCCTCTGGACAGCTAATAATATTTTCGCACTTTTTGGGAAGAGGGCTCCTTATTTGATAGTAAGCGCGTAGGACCGGTAATTATCTTGAGGACACTTTTACGATATATTTCTTCTAAGCATGAATGATATGCAGGTTCACTCGTGCATACTCATTCATTTCCGCATTCGGTTCTGCATGGTCCATAACATACTTTAACACGTTCTGGACCGCGTGACACACATGGATGTGTCATGAATTCGTCTCTATGCGGCGTTTTATTGGATTAATTTGGCTCTCCTTTTATGTTCCACTGTTGTCAAAACACATTCTCGGTTACGGAAGATACTTACCTCATAAGCGATTGGAAAAGGGAGGAAATTACTGATGAATTACTGATGGAAATGAGAAAGTGATCCGGAGATGCGTGCAGTGCGGCGATCCGCCATGTTTTGAAGCGTTCCTGCACTGTACATTTTGGGATAGACCCTCCCCCGATTTGCCATGATAGGCCAAGAAACATATGTGAATTTTCATAGTAGGCACCACCTCCAAACGGTTTGTTATCGATATGCATCTCACGAAACTGGCCCACCTGGACGAGCATCTCCTGAAGTGAACTCGTTCGGGAATGACTCTCTTCCAACTCTGTTGATTGGCACGGTGTAGCAGTGATTGGCGATCGCTGCACTTCGAGCTTCGAACGCCCACATAGGTTCACTAAATAATTGTAATGATACTTGAGCTTTGAGAGTACAGAAGCTACGATAATTGATCCTCTGACAGCAAAGCATTGGACATCCGGTAAAGACAGCTATCAGCTTCGTTAAGGGTAAGGCTAGCGGAGATAAAAACGTTGACTGGGATGCTGCGAATTCTTTGTATTGCCTCAGAACGTACTACAGTCCTGTTCCCTGCGTACGGGCTGGGTTTGATTTGGCGCCAGCCAGGTTTCCAAAATTTGTGATCCCCTCCCCTCCTTCTTCTACTAGGTCATCCCATTCAAAAGTGCCGAGACATATAGAGGAATGGCAGAAAAAGGGGATAGGGAAGCGGGCTACTATACCATTTGGAGGCTAGTACCTTTAGCTATGTATCTGTGAATTTGGCGAACCTACCCACAGAGGAAGTTCTCGAGAAATTGAAAAGAAGCCCGAGTGGTGAAAATCAGCGCCCGATTTTCAAATCAGACGTCATAAGAGGGAAGTGCGCTGCTCAAATTTGACCTGCGCCGGACCAGTAGTTGTGTAATGGTGTTCTCGAAATACAAGGTGGAAGGTTTGGTTCAGGAGCCCGAAGAAGGAAGAAAGGAAAAAATTTGTTGTCGTGGATGGTCCCATAATGTTCATCCTGCACAAGAAAAAGGTGGATGAAGTCAAGCGCTGAATGTCTGATCCCAGAGCCTGGACCTTTGTCGAGCTTCCCCGCGAGTCTGACATCCCAGCTGCAACTGCTGCCCGAGTTATGTCCGATAAACTGAGGATGGTCAAGAGGGTGTGCGCATGGGTACCTAATTTTCTTGTAGAAGCACGAACGCAGTACCGATTCTATGCCTCTAGCAGTAATGTTCTCAGCATGAGATGTCATTCACGACTGTGAAAACGCACCCCGGCCTAGATGAAATATGGGTGGTCTTGGACCTCGAGCCAAAACTCACAATCGTCAATTTTGTATGAATGCAGATGAGAAGCCGCCCGAGTTCTACCATGAAGAGTTACGTGGGCGCAAGTGGATGATCATCATAGCAAAGGATTCCCACACTGTGGCTTTCAGGCGGCTCTATACAGAGAATAAAATCGTCGCTGTCGGTGTATATTGCCTGTTCCTCGGCAATCAGATCGACAAATGGATGATACCACACAACTACAAGAAGGCCACCGTTGCTCGTCATAGTGCCAGACCCCGAGTAACTGTATTGTAGGGCAGTGCTGGGACACAAACAATACTGAGACCTGGGTTCAATCGCCCCATTCGCCCGACATAAAGCCGAGCGATTCCAATTGTTCTCGTCAGTCGAGAGTACTCTCCGACGGCAAACGCTACAATGTTTTGTCATTCGCCGAAATTGGCATCAACAGCAATTTACTCGCACTTGTTGAAAAATCGAAGGTACCAGAGGTCCAAAGGCTTTCGGGGCACTGGGAGCGGGTCATTGGTGAAGGAGGGATTTACTTAACTTGAAGCCAAAATATTACTTTTTTATCTATTCTCCTCTTTGTTTTATTCGAATAAAACCGACGGCACTTTTGAATGGGATGACCTAATAGAATTCGTGGAAAGGAGTGGCGCCACATCAAAACCAGACCTGATGAAACGCCCCACCATCGGCAGCGAAGGTGATTGTAGATTAGATGCAGAAAGACGGGAGGTGCATTGATGGAGGTGTAAGACAGATCAGATAGCCTCAACCAGAGTACTGTTTTAGATGAGGTTACCCTTAGCTGAGCCTCAAAAAGTGTGAGGCGATTTCTCCCCATGCTCATGGCTCAATGTGGCAGGTTTAATCAGTTCATACACCTTTGTACACAACTGTATGTACTCTCGTGTACCTAACTTGTGGTTTTATATGAAAAGTTAGGAGCTCTGGTGTTGATCAACCCACTAACCACTACGCAACGGAGCTCTTCTTAGCTCGACGCTAAGCGTGCTCACCTGAGCGGGGATGCGCCATCATTACAGTTCTACATACTCGGGGCAACGATAGCTTTTAACGACGTATTGCTCTATGCATCAACTCCTCGGGCCAGCCGATGCACAAGCTTAGTTTTTTTTCAGACCTATAGTACCGCGTTTAACCAGCTCTAGAGGTATGGAATGCTTGGTTGCGCTAGGTGGGATTTCATTGTTAGAGTGATTCTTCCGAGATGAAGGGCGAAAGAACCATATAAGTTTTGTGGACGTTTTTCAACTTATCTCTAGTTATTCCTTCCTGGTTAGAGGAAAGCTGACAATTATCACAAGAATGCTGTGTGGAAAAGTCAAACTCTCCGACTCGAACCCGCATCTCCCGCTCAAGCTCCGTTGCGTAGTGGTTAGTACACTCGCCCAACAAGCGGCATGCGCGAGTTTGAATTCTGCCTGGGGTCTGGCTACTGCCCATAACTCAGCACCTTTGCGATAACTTTCGGAGCGTGGAACCGGCTGCGTTAAACTGCAATTACCATACTGAATCAACTCAAAGCCAACAGTGCCAATATTGTGGTAGTTTAGCGCCACTACGGCAATGAACCTTTAGCAGCTTCCACGCAACTATTAAATACAGCTGCAGAAAAAGAACCCTATAAATAGAACGGAACCTCTCATTTTCGACGACCTCGGCACAGGGATTAAAGATGATCTCAGCTCCATTCAGGGCGTACATCATCCAGTTTTGAGGGTGATGGCGACCATAACAAACATTGATAGCCACTTTACCTGTAAGCAGAATATTATTCAGAATGAACATTTTGGAAACAACACGTGGACACAATGCCACCCAAGTCGACTTTTCTGCATAACTCAGTGAAATGCTCGCTTACCAAAAGCCGTCTCAAATACTGGATGTCCCAGTGTGGATTCCATGTAGTACGTGGACTGTAAGTGATGAAATTAAAGTAGTAATGGTATGTGTCCATAGTAATTACCTCCGAAAAGTCTCCGATTCTTGGGATGTGGTTCTTTCTGCTTTTGCCGATCACCTTTCCAGTGTGCGAAATGACGACAGCCGCATTCCACAGCACGTCATCCTTGTCTTCATCCCTCTCCAGTATTGACGAAATAATCACAATACCATATTTGGCTGCTATCTAAATTATCTTATCTTTATATTGCTCGCGATCGGATCGCGAAATATCACCGCTGTCCTAGATGATGTTCTCCCTCCTATAGCTGATTTTGAGTTTTGAGCGTTATGGGCTAAGCAAGTTGGCGTTCAAAAAAGAAAAGTAAGCTACTGAATTGCACGATCAAAGTGCAGGTGGAAGTCCCTCCTTGTACAAAGGTTTACACTTCAGCCGCTCAGAAAGGCGTAGCAAAAGGCGGTAATGAAGAATTAGTGCATAATAATACCGTTAATTCTCGTGCTTGGCGAAAAGAGGGCTTCACTCATGACGCTTTCCTCTGTTTTTCTTTCGATACTGTCTTCAATGGTATCAACTCTCATGCTCTCGTTTTTCTAACACGACTACCCACATATTGCAGTCTTTTGAAGGCATATGGCACGATGACTTGTTACCTGATCTAAAAGCTAACAGGGTGCTATACATATTGTGGAAAACGACGGAGAAAAACGACACGACTGCACGTGTAAACTCATATATCCTCGCAGCACCGCGGCTGCTTCTTACCCCTCGCTCCATATTTTCCTTCGCAAATGAAGCGATACGAGCATCAGGATCACCCGGACATTTGTGGGCGGGCGGGAGCGGTGGGCGTCCGGGTCGGTATGTTGCAGCTTGATGGGGACTCATAAGGGAAAGGGACCTTCCTTAGGGAACGCGCTACGCTGCGCCTGCCCAGGGGCGCAGAATCCTGTACTGCTAAGCGTAATGATCCTTCTCGTCTTAGAGATTTATCGTGCCAACTGCCTTTAAGTGAAATCGTTCTCACGCACTTCAGAGCCGTGAATGAGTTTCATCCTCTGGGCTTCTGAAGCTTCTTACCTTCTCTCTCCTCCCCCCCCCCCTTTCCTGACGGGGTAGGAATCGTTCCAGACATAGAAGCAGCATAATCTTAACCACAAGCCAAGGTTTCAAGGACGCCGAACCTGCAGTTCTCACTAAACTTTTGCATTGCCCGCCCCGAACTAATAAGGTAAAAAAAATCAGTATTCCTATTCTGCTCTGGTCCCCTTGCATGACCAGTCGCTAACGGGGTTATTAAACCTATCAGGCCGCTGGTGCGACTAGTAATGAGCCAATCCTACCTCCTTGGAGTCTTATGGTTGAGGAGATACCAGGGGGAGCAGTGACGAAACAAATCGTGTCTGTTTTGTAGTAGTTTTTGAACTCGTGTCCACTTCTTCTTTTTTTATGGAAAGGTAATTAGATTTTCAGCTCATATCTATGTCTCCTTTTCTCTATGTTGAAATGGGTTAATCTTGAAGTTAGTTCCAGGAGCATAACTGTCCATAGTCCAAATATCTACTCTAATTTCATGCTACGTGGGCAATGGTCACTAAAACAGTACCTGTGAGAGGAATTTCGTCGTTGGACCATGCTCGGCTGACTCTGCGAACTGTGTCCATGGAAGACGTTCAC